GGAGAGTAGAGGTGTTGGGAGGGTGTAGTCAGAGTAGACCTCTCAAGAAAGTGACATCAGGGCAATGACTCAAAGCAGGGGCAGGGTTTACCAGGCAGACTGCGCTAGCCAGAGGGCAGCTGCAGGGCAAAGGCTCTGGTGTGGGAGTTGCCAGGTGTGTTCCAGAAGCCATGAGGAAGCTCGAGTGGCTGGAGTTGAATGAGTGAGGTTGGTAGGAGGTGAAGCTGGAGAAACAGTAGGAGAGGGTGACCTTGAGGACCTTGGAGGTCACAGTAGGGACTTTGAGTTTTTCTTGGAGTAAGATGGGAGCACTTGCAGAGTTTTGAGCAGAAGAGGGACAGAATCTGACTTGTGTTTCAAAAGGATCCCCCAATACAGTGTTGAGAATGGCCTTTGGAGTGGCAACGGTAGAAAGAGGAAGACAGGAGGAATCTCCAATAGTAAATCAGATATGAGATGAAGATCTTCCTGCAAGAGTCATCCCAGTGCAGGGGGTGAGAAGTGCTCAGATTCTGGATTTATTTAGAAGGAAAACCCATTATGATATTCTAATGGATTAAATGTGGGGTGTAAGAAAATGAGAGAAGCCAGGATGGTTCCAAATCTTTTGGCTTGAGCAATTGGAAGGATGGAGCTGGAAGAGGCTCCATCTCTCTTTAGGTAGAGAAGATTTCAGGTGGGAGATGATCAAGAGTTCAGTATTTTTTTCTTTTTCATTATGATGATTTTTTATTGAGATATAATTCTCATATCAAAAATTCAGCCCTTTACAATGTGAATTCGATGGTTCTTAGTATATTTACAAGTTGCACAACCATCACATTATCTAATTCTAGAACATTTGTTGACCCCCAAAAGAAACCCATACCCTTTAGCCACTCCTCTTTCCCCCCTCCCTGATATTTATTTTCTGTCTCAGTGAATTCGCCTATTCTGGAGATTTTTATAAATGGAATCATACAATATGTGCCCTTCTGTGTCTGGCTTCTTTCACTCAGCATAATGTTTTCAAAGTTCATCCACGTTGTAGCATGAATCAGCACTTCATTCTTTTTTATGGCTGGATAGTATTCCATTGTATGGATATATCACCTTTTATTTATCCATTCATCAGTTAGTGGACATTTGGGTTGTCCACTTTTTGGCTATTATGAATAATGCGCCTATGAACATTCATACATATGTTTTCATGTGGACATGTGTTCAGGTCTCTTGAGTACATACCTAGGCATGAATTGCTGGGTCATATGGTAACTCTATGTTTAACTTTTTGAGGAACTTTTAAATGCTTTCGAAGGTGGCTGTACCATTTTACGTTCTGACCAGCAATATATGATGGTTCCAATTTCTCCAGATCCTTGCCAACACGTGTTATTGTCTATCTTTTTGATTATAGCCATCCTTGTGGGTGCAGAGTTGCATCTCATTGTGGTTTTAGTTGCATTCCCCTAATGGCCAATAATGTTGAGCATCTTCTCAACTGCTTATTGGCCATTTGTATATCTTGTTTGGAGAAATGTCAACTCAAATCTTTGCCCATTTTTAAGTTAGTTTATTTGTCTTTTTATTGTTGAATTGTAAGAGTTCTTTATATATTCTAGATACTAGACCCTTATCAGATATATGATTTGCAAATATTTTCTCCAATTCTGCAGGCTGTGTTTTAAGAATTTAGTTCTGGGGGCCGGCCTGGTGGCATAGTGGTTAAGTTCGCATGCTCCACTTCTGTGGCCCAGGGTTCACAGGTCTGGATCCCAGGCACGGACCTACACACTGCTTATCAAGCCATGCTGTAGTGAATCCCACATATCGAGATGGAAGATGGGCACAGATGTGAGCCCAGGGCCAATTTTCCTCAGCAAAAAAAAAAAAAAAATTTTAGTTCTGAACTTATTGAATTTGAGATGTTTTATTAGACTATTAAATACTTAAGTCTGGTAGAGAAGTGTAAGCTAAGAGATACAGAAGATATAAGATATCTGTATATCTGTAAAATAGATATACAGAATCATCAGTGTATGGAAGAATACTATTTAAAATCATGAGACTGGGTACAATCCCTCATCAAGAGAGTAAGGATAAAGGGAAGATGTCAAGGACTGAGCCCTGAGACACTCTAGCATTCAGAAGTTGGCAAGGAGGAGAAGAGCCATCAAAGGAGAAGGGGCTGCCAGCAAGACAGGAGGCAACAAAGAGAGAGTGGGTCTTGGGAGCCTGGGGAGGAAGTGCGTGGAGAGTGGGCTGTGATCACCTGGGTCAGATGCTCCTGAGAGATCAAGTAGGTGAGCACTGAGAATGACCCTTGGGTTTAGCAACTAAGAGGTCATTGGTAACCTGACCAAGAGCAATTTCAGAGGAATGTTGAGGAAGAAAGCCTCATCAGAGTGGGGTCAAGAAAGAATGGGAGAAGAGAAACTGGAGACAGCAAGTATAGACATTTCTTTCAAAGAGGAGTTTTGCTGCAAACCAAGGGGGTAGGTAGAGGGAGAAGTGAGGCCAAGAGTGTTGTTTTGTTTTGTTTTCTGGTTTTGCTTTCAAGATGAGAAAATCAGCATCATATTTGTATCCGATGGGAACGATCCAGTGGGAGCCAAAAATTAACGACATAGGAGAGAGAGGGGAGACTTGCTGGAGCAGTGTCCTGGAGTAGGTGATAGGACAGGATTGATCCCAAGTGGAAGGCTGGCCTTCAATGGGGCACAGACAGGGCATCTATGGAAAGAGGTGGGGAGGCAGCATGTGGGTGCAGACCTGGCGGGTCGCAGACAGCAGGCAGGGTAGGAGTCCATGCTCCCATGTTTTCAAGGGAAGGAGGAAGCAACGTCTCTGGCTGAGAGTGAGGATGGGGGAGGAGGGCTGGGAGTCAGGAAAAGGACAAGGTATGAAAAGGTGTCTCCAGCAGAGCAAGAGCACTAGCGAAGGACAGTGTGAGTCCAGGCAGCATTAGGGTGCAGGTAGGTCTCTGTTCTGGGTTGAGATATCACTTCCTCCAAAGCCTTCTGACCCCAGACGAGGTCACTCCCCTTGTTATAAGTCTCAAAGCCCCTGTGGTGCTTCTCTATCACAACTCTGATCACAGTGGGGACGAAACAGCAACTGTATTCTTTAGTTCTTTAATCTCCATATCCCTCACTAGACTGTAAACCCCGAGAGGACACGAGCAAACACCGTCTCCTCCATCGCTGTACCTCAGCATCAAGCTCTTCTTGCATAGTCGTCTCTCAATACATAATTATTAAATAGTTGAATAAATGAATGAGATAATGAATGAGAAAAGTCCTGGAAGTGGCATGTGTGCTTTTTGGTCGGCCTAGATTTCTGAAGCAGCCCCTCTCGCATCGCTGGGTGATTACGGACCTCCTCCCCGAAACACTCCTACCCCCCGCCCCGCCCCGCCCCGCCCAGCCCTTCACCCACGCTCCTGCACTCCGCACCCCGGACGCTGCGGCTTTAAGGGCCGGCAGAAGCCGAGCTGGGCGCTGATTGGTGGTTTATTCTAACGGATAGAGGATGAGCTCATCTGCAGCCAATGGCCGCGCTGCATCCGGCCAGACCCCTGCACCTGGCTGGAGGGCGCACGGCGCCGCCCGCGGTTCGTGGTCCCCTGCGGGGGTGAAGGGACGATGGCGGCTGGAGTAGATCTGGCCGCGCAGACCCAGCTCCTGGCTCGGGCAGGTACAGTGTTTGCCCGGCTCCTCCTCCATTCCCCTCCCCCTGGGGAGGATGCCCCCTCCTCTCACTCCCCCACTTGCCTTCCTCGGCCTGACCCCCGCGGGCGGTGCACCTTGTGTGCCGGGGACTCCAGGGCTGGACGCGCCGCTTTCTGTAACCACACGTGGCCATGCGGCTCTGCCCCGCAGGACCCGGCCCGGCGCGGTGGCCCCTGAAGCCGGGGCCTGACTCGAGCAGTCCCCCCCATCGGCCTTGGCGCTGCCAACACAGGCCCCGAGCTGCAGGTCCCGGGTGGTTGGGCCCAGGAGAGAGGGCGCGGCATCCCGCCTCCCTCCCTCCACCTCCTGGCCAGGGTTCAGCTCACCGCTGGCTTGGGTGTGTGGGTTCCCTCCCCGCCCCACTCGCCATCTGTTCTCTCCTCCCTCTCTCCAGAGAGGCAGAAATGGCCTGTGTTGGAAATCTGTCCCTGCCGTCCCAGCAGGGCCTGAGAGAGCAGAGGCAACTCTGCTGGGCTTTCTCTGAGCCCTGCTCTTACCCCTTTGGCCACTTGTGTCACACACTGTTCAGGGAGGAGCTGTTGTCAAGTCCTTGGAGGCCACGTGGCCTCCTGGCCTTCTCAGAGACCGAGCGAGACGGAGCCAGGAGGACAGAGCCATCCCCTCCCTAGGGCTGGGTTGGCCCTCCTTCCTCTAACTCCATCCAGCATCTGCCATTCAGTCATTTCATTTGCCCATAGGCTTTAAGGCCTGGCTTTGTGCCCAGCTCTCTGCTGCGCTCCGTGGGGGGTCCTCACTTGCTGACCACACTGACCTCAGCACCAAGGGAAGCGAAATAAAGCAGGGACAATCCATCCTGTTCCGGGAGGTGCCACTGAGCTGAACCCTGAAGGATAATGAGATTCCCCCAGGTGGAGTAGGGAGGGCAGAACAGGCAGGATGGAGGGAACAGTGTGAGGAATGGCCTTTGAGCCCAGGGCCCCTGCCTCGGCCTCAGAGTGTGTGGCCTCCATATGTTCACCGTGTACTAGACACCAGTTTGCTCTGTGAAGGCCCGTTGAAGGCAGCTCTGGGCCACGAATGTCCTCAGCTCTCTCTAGGGCTCAACATAGAGTAGGTGCTCCAGAAATACTTGTTGAACTGCATTTGAATGGAAAAGAAGAGCCCCAAGCATGTTATTATTCTGTTGCCACCACCACTTAGGAACGATCTGGCTCAGGGAAGGGACATTACCCACATTAGCTCTGATCCCTCCAGCCCTTGGAGGTGAGTATTAGACTCCCAATATTCATTGGGGGAAACCAGGGTGCAGATGGGGTTTTGTTCCCAGCTAGGTCCTCCCTATTGCATCTGTTCATTCCAGGTTGCAGCCGCAGGGCAGCAGCCATGAGCCTGGTGGCCTACGAGTGCCCATCCGGCCCTGGCCTGGATCCTGAGCCCTGCTCGCATGCACGGTCCCAGGCCCGTGTGTATCTGGAGCAGATTCGCAGCCAGGTGGCTCCAGGGGCACCTGAGATGACGAAACGTGACTACCTGGTGGATGCAGCCACGCAGATCCGACTGGCCCTGGAGCGCGACGTCAGTGAGGACTACGAGGCGGCCTTCAACCACTACCAGAACGGCGTAGATGTCCTGCTGCGCGGCGTGCACGGTGAGGGCCAGGCTGGGCAGGGGCCAGTGGGGAAGGGCCAACGGGGGGCTCGTCCCGTCATCCGCCCATCTGTGCTAGGTGCACAGGGCTCTATGGTGGTCCTGCAGGGCCCCTGTGAAGAACAATAATAACAGCTAGCAGTTCCTCTACACCAGGCCCTGGTCTAAGGGCTTTACATGTGTTAACTTGTTTGAGCCTCACAGCAATAGAAATTACTGTATATGTTGTTGCGTGTAGTTCCAACTATATGGGAACTGTTTTTATTCCTACTTTCCAGATGAGGAAACTGAGGCACAAAGCAGTTAAGTAGCTTGCTTAGGGTTCCATAGCTATGCAGTGGCAAAGCAGAGTTTGAACATTTTTGGATCCAGGGGCTGGGCGCTTGACCCACTCTGCTTGCCTGCCCCTGGGGCTGGGCTGGGCTCCTGCTCTCTGGGGCTTGCATTAGACTGGGGGAGAGTGATGAGTTGATGATGGACAGTTATAGTCCCAGGTGGGAAGAGCAATGAGGAGGAAGTGAAGGGAGGGAAGAGGGAAACTGAGGCCAGGTTGGACCAGCAGAGGGTATTTTCTAGAAGTCAGAACTCTAATCTGAGCACTGAAGAGCGATAGGCACATTGTCCAGCTGAAGGGCTGGGTAGTACTCCAGAGAGGGAACAGCAAAGGCCTAGAGGCGAGAGGGGAGGCCTGTGCAGAGCAGTCAGGCATTTCCAAGCTGGGGAAGAGCCTGGCCCTGAGGCCGGTTTGAGACCCCTGAGGGCTGTGGTGGCCAGGCTGGGGGAAGAGTCGGGCCCTGATTCACGCTTTCCACCTTCCTGCTGATGAGACCCCTCAACGCCTGGGCTTCAAGCCTGTCCAGTGAATTTCTTTGTCCCCCAATCCTAATCCCCACTCTGGCCTTTTTCTTGGGCTTCAGAGATGGAAGAAGGTGTGGTCTCTGGGAGCTTCTGTCTCCTTCTCTGGAAATGGACATGGAAATCCCCACTTTGTCCCTGCCCAGGGTGTGATGGCAGCCAGCGAGGTGGTGGGGGCCAACTGTAAAGAGCTGTGGGCTGAGGGGTGATGGCGATTCCCAACCTCTCCTGCCATCTGCCTTCTTCCTCCTCCCCTGCTGATCTCCCACCCAGAGGATGGGCTCAAGAACAGATGTGGGGTCAGAATCTGCTGACCAGCCTCAGAAAGAGGTGCTGTCTCCTGTGGAGGGCAGAGGACAGCCAAGGGGAGCCGGAACCCCAACCCTCTAAGACGGGAGGTGGGTCCTGGGGACCCTTTTCCCCTATAGTTGACCCCAACAAGGAGCGACGTGAGGCTGTAAAGCTGAAAATTACCAAGTACCTGCGGCGGGCAGAGGAGATCTTCAACTGTCACCTGCAGAGGACACTGGGCAGTGGAAGCAGCCCTGGCACGGTGAGGAGACCCTTCCCCAAAGGCCTGGGGGTTCTGAGGGGAGATAGCTGAGCTCCCCACCCCTACCCATGGCCAGAGAGCCCTCTCCTCACATCCTGGGCTGCAAGGCAGGGCGGCCGTGGTGGGTGCCGGGGTTGTCCCTCCTGCTGGCCTCTGGCTCCCTCTCTCCCCCACACCCTCCTTAGTTCATTCGTTTTCAGACGCTTAGTGAATCATCTCCAGTCCAGTGTCGCGCCCTCACAGAGTACATGCACACATCTCCCCACCCTCACACACGGCTCGTACACATGCTCCCGTGTGTTCACGCTCAGTCTCCCAGATCTGTTTGTGTTTGAATGGGCCCCAGTGAGTATCTGGAGCATGAATGCCCACGTGCACACACACACACACGTGAACGCAAGCATGACACAAATGTGCACAAGTACTCTCCCCGTATGGCTTTTCCTAACCAGTGGGCACTCAGAGAGGGTTGAAAATGCACGCACACTTCTCACACCCACAGGTGGGCACAGACATGCACACAGATACCTCCTAGGCTCGCTGCATCTTATAAGCTGCTTTTCCCCAAAGCAGGTGGCTGGGCCACATGCCTTGGTCTTTGAGGCGTGTTCCCTGAGACCCACATGTTCCCAGGTTACTTGCCCACCCCCGGGAGCATCTGCCTCCTGTGGATGGGGCTTTCAAGAGAGTGTTTCTGAAGCCTCGAGAACTCCCTGGGCCTTGGAGGATGGCTGGGCGGGGGCTGAGTGAAGAGGGCCGTGTGGCCACCCTGGACCAGTGTGGGCCCCCCACCTGTCAGGGCCAGCTTCTCCACTCAGCCTGTCCCTATGAGGTGAGGTCTGCCTGTACCCCAGTCCTGCCTGCTGTGGCCACTGCTCTCCTGGCAGCCAGAGGCCCTGCCCGCTGCCTGGTGAGAAGGCGGTGGCTGAGGAGGGCTGGGCCCTGAGGCTACATGGCCTGTCTCCCACCTCCAGGGTTTCAGCAGCCTGAGGCTCCGGCCCATCCGCACGCTGAGCTCTGCCCTGGAGCAGCTGAGGGGCTGCAGGGTGGTCGGGGTCATCGAGAAGGTGAGTGAGCAGACACCTGCGGTGTGGGAGGAGATGGTGTGTGCGATTGGGGGCGGCGGGTGGGGAGAGAGCAGCTACCCCCTACTCCTCCAGAGGGGGCTGGAAAGGGGGTCAGAGGGTCCAAGAGGAGGAGAGCAGCTGTGTCCAGCAGTTCCCCACCCCTCCCCCACCTCAGTACACACAGTCAGGTCCTAGAAAGGAAACGGGAACAGAAGAGGCAGAAGGCCCCTCTACACGGCCCTCCAGCTCAGACACAGAAAACCGCTTCCTCGGAGATTCAAGACAGAAGCCACAGGAGAAGCTGTGCCCAGGGCACCCTGCCAGCATGCACTGCCCTGCCCACTCCCACTTCCTGCTTCCCACAGGCCCTCACTCTGCACTCACTCTGCACCCCAGGGCTGCGGCCAACAGTCTCCCCACCAGGCACAGCCAAGAAGTTCTTGTGGTGGGAATGTGCTCATCTCCAGAAACCTGTCCAGCAGAGGGTCCAAGCTGGCCGGTGCATTGTCCAGGGCCTTGGCAGCTCTGCCCCTTCTCCCTTGGCACCCCCACCCTCATCCTGTCCCCCTCTGGGACCCCTTCCCTTGATTCCGGGCAGACAGGAGCTGACATCCCAACCCATACCTGGAATACTCATTAGAATGGAAGAATCAGAAGGACATATGGTTGGGTCAAATGAGATTTGAGGCCACATTCGATTGCCCTCGGCCCCAACCAGGAATACCTGAGGAGTCACTAAAGCCATTCTTTCTCAAACTGGCTATTTATCAGAATCACCTGGGGAGCTTCCTAAAAACACAGATGCCCAGGTCCCACCCTAGGCCTGTCGAGTCAGAATTTCTAGGGTCAAGCCCGGGAGTCTGTAATTTAAACATTCGCTGGGGGATTTAACGGGCCTGGGAGCCCACAGAGAAAAGGAGATGACTGTGTGCTTCCTCACACGCCAGAGGATGAGATGGTGTCTGGGCAATGCACAGGATGACCACGGGCAAGTCCCTTCCCCTCTCTGAGCGTTGGTTTCCTCATCTGTAAGTAGGGGGAGAATCCTCCCCCCATGGGGTGATGTGGGAACTCAAATGAAATAATTTTTGGGAAAGGCCTGGCACACGCTAAAACATTTGATACATGTGTGATGGCTCTAAATGCTGGTGACAAGAGCAAGTCGGGAGGCCTGCAGCCTTCCCGTCCCCCAGCTTTGCTCCAGCTGCTTCTCCCAGGTCCCTGGAACAGGCCCCAGTCTGTCAGGCAAGGCCCAGCCAGCTTCCATCTGCACGGGCCTTCCCGCTGCACTCGTCCACGTGGCTCAGCCAAGCACAGTCCTCCCACAGACAGGCTGGGGAGGTGACTGCCGCCACCATTTACCCATATGGGATCCCACGGAACCATACCTGTTATGGAGAGAGGGGTTCCGGGTCAAGCAAGTCTGGGAAACAGTGGGTTAAAGTTACATTACTTAGTTTTTGTAATTATAGGAGTTTTCAGAGCTTTTAGGATGCAAATGTACACCATGAGTTTCCAAGAGGGAGGTCTATGACAGAATTCCCCGAATTTGTTTAACCCCAGGACACGCATATGCAAAGCATTTTCATTTCAGAGTCCAGTGTTCTGAGGCCTGTGCATATGGAAAGCACAAAATAAGGCCAAGTTCAACCATTCTGTCTGGAGCTTGCTGTTCTTTCCTTTTTCATCCTTTCTTGGGCACTCAACTTACCTACTCCACCTCCCTCCTGAGATCTTGCCTTCTTTCCTGTGTTGTTCCCAAGCCAGGAACACCAGTTTCCCCAAATTAGGAGAGGTGCTAAGGCCAGTGGGTCCCAGTCCCTGCAGCCAGGCCTGGATGTGCTGTCACAGTGTTCCATTCCATAGCTCTGCCCAGGCAGATTCAGGCAGGAGGGCACTGCCAGCCAGCAGCAGCCTGCAGAGCCCGGGAGGAGCAGAGGGTTCGCTCAGGAAGCCTGAGTGCCCTCAAAGATGCCCAGTTGTTAGGGTTAACTGGGCTGGGGAGGGGGTTTCTAGGGGTTGAAGAGATACTAGCAGGGCTAGGGGGTGGCAGGGAACAGCGAGGTGGGTGGCTCAGGGACTAGGTAAGCAGCTGGCCAGATACCCAGGGGTCTGCTCTCAAGGAGTGTGGGGGGCCTTGGAGACATCACCGCGTATTTGCTGAGCCGCGTATTTGCTGAGCCTCGTGTTTGGTGAGCCTTGTCCAGGAGCCAGGCTCTGAGTCAGGGACGGGGAAGAAAAAAGCCACCCAAGTCACTTCTTGTTTTTTGGCTCAAACACAGGGGTGCTTTTTTTATTATTATTAGTTACCAACATTTAAAAATTGGCAGGTTTCATATAGAAGTCCAGATTTCCTGCTTCTCCTGAAAAATCGGAGGATCTGGAAATGCTGTCTCACACTTCTGCCTGGAAGCAGGGAGTGGAGGAGGGGCTGCCTGCTTTACTGGGGCACCAGCCCTCTGGTCTCTCCTGTCCCCCCCTGCCCACTTGGCTCACATGCCTGGCCCTTGTGGGCCTTGGAGTTTGAGAACATGTTTCAAAACTTTTGGACTTATTTGCTCCATGAGAGATTCCTCCTGGGATTTTGATACTTTGGGCATTTTTTTTTCTTTTGGTGAGGAAGACTGGCTCTAAGCTAACATCCATTGCCAATTCTCCTCTTTTTGCTGATGAAGATTAGCTCTGAGCTAACATCTGTGCCCATCTTCCTCTATTTTGTGTATGGGATGCTGCCACAGCATGGCTTGATGAGCGGGGAGTAGATCTGCGCCCAGGATCCGAACCTGTGAACCCTGGGCTGCCAAAGCGGAATGCGTGGACTTAAAACTACTATGCCACCTGGCTGGCCCCTAGTTTGGGCATTTTTAAAGAAAGGGCTAACGTGTTTCACCAAAGCTTTAATTGTCCCCACATTCAAGAACTCAGTGGGTTTCTGTTTTTAAAAAAAAGATTTCCCTTTGTAGGAAGGTGAGAGCAGGCACCCAGGACTGCCTTCCACTTTCCAATTGCAATATTCACGTGACATTCATAAGTCACGTTCTTATTTGCAAAGCTGTTGCATTAAACCCTCTCAGTTGCCCTGGGGAAAAAACCATTATACTGTGCGATGCAATATAGTAGTCACTATGCACATAAGACTATTTAAATTAAAATTAATAAGTATTCTGTTTCTCAGTTGCACCAGCACGTTTCAAGGGCTTGATAGCCATATATGGCTAATGGCTTCTGTATTGGACAGTGCAGATATATAATATTTCCATCATGGCAGAAAGTTCTATTGGACAGTGCTACATTTTAATAATTGTCTTACCGAGAATGAAACTGAGGTTCATAGAGTTCAAGTGAAGAGTTGGTGCTCTGTCTGTTATAGTATTGAGCAAAAGGGGAAGGGGATTTTTTTGTTTGCTTGATGTAATGGGGAAATGCTCCCTCCACAACTGTTTGCAGATGTAATGAAACAGAAAAAAAAAAAATTCCCCACCATCCTACCTAACTCCAAGACAATTACTGTTAACGTTTTGGTCTAATTCTTTGTAGGTAGGTAGGTTTAGGTATATATTAACACATTTGTTTCAATGTACTGATCAAGTTTTATTTCGTGCTTCCCCAACCTTCACTGCTGTTGTTTTGGACTCTGTCAATGAGAAGGCCTTGCCCAGGACAAGGTGGTAGGGAATCCCACTTGGCGAGGGACAGTGGGGAATTATCCAGTGTGTCAATACTTGTGGGAAACTCTGTTCTCCTAAATGACCCCAGAGTTTTCTTCCTTTCTTTTTTAAACATTGCACGAATTTAGTTAAGGAGCTGGGGCCAGGCTCTGGCTGTGGGAGGAGAGACCTCTGGTGGTCAGAAGGGATGCCTTACTCCTGCTGCAGGAAGGGCCCTGGCGCTCATCTAGTCCCCCACCTTCATTTCTCTGATGATGGGGAAACTGAGGCCCAGAGGGGAAGACACGTGCCAAGGTCACCTGGTTGTGCCCCCAGTTGCAGTTAAGTCTCCAGGGCTCCGGGATCAGCCTGCCTGGATTCAAATCCTGTCTCTACCACTTTTTAGCAGTGGGACCACAGGCAACAGAACCTCTCTGAACCTCAATTTCTTCATCAATAAAATAGGTCACTAGTAACACTCACCTGGTAGAGCTATGGGAATAAAATTAAATAATCTATATAAAGTGCCTAGCACGGAGTAAGGGCTCTATAGCCACTGTGGGGTTTCTCTACAATAATCATCATCACGACAGATTATTGAGGGCATGTTGGATGGCACGCACAGGCTGCAGCTATCCTTGAGTTATCTGCTTTGCTAGAATCCTCCTAATGACCTTCCGAAGGAGGCACTGCCATGACCCCACTTTGCAGTTAAGAAGAATAAGGTCCAGAGAGGCAATGTGATTTGGCAAATGTGAAAACTGGCATTCTCACAGCCTTTACATTCACAAAGGGCCTTCCCATTTGTGGTCTCAACAAACCAAGGGTGAGGGAAGGTGGGCATTTATAATTCCTGTTTGGTAGATGAGAAAATCATCTCACTCACCCAAGAGCTAAACCCAGTGCCCCTTTCCCACCCCAATCCCAGGCTGCAGCCTTCATCACTGCCCAGTGGCCTGGCCTCAGAGCCGGGCTCTCACCCACCACCATGGGGAGTGACTGCGGGTCAGGCAGACGGCCGAGGAGTCACAACACCAGGGTGCCGGTCTTGCCCCCACCTGCCCCTCATCTGGGCCGAATCTTCTGCCTTCCTGCCCCAACACACCTGGTGTGCCCTCTCCTATGGCTGGGGTCCACCCCTGCTCACCACGGAGATGAGTCCGGGCCCAACTCCAAACAAGGCCCTGAACCAGCAGTTGGCAGACCCCTGCCTCTAGCCCAAAGCAACAGGAGAAGGAGCCTGCTGCTCAAAGACAGCCTCCAGGGAGAAAGACTGTTTAAAAGAAGGGGTGGAGCGGGCAGAGGAAGAGACCTGAAGCAGCATGTGAAGGCTGTGTGTTCCCGGCCCAGCTCAGCCTGTGGGTGATCTGGTGCCACACTCCCCAGAGCCTCAGCTTGTTCACCTGTAAAACTAGAGATCAGAGAAGGTGACTGGCTCTGAGGTCCCTTCCAGCCGTGACACCCTCCAACTCTGCAGGATGGACCACTCACCACACATGCGTGAAGCACCTACTGCATCCCTGCGCTGTGCAGGGCTCTGGGAATGCAGAGCTGGACAGTGTGGTCCCTGCCCTCACGGAGCTCACAATCCAGTGGGGAGACAGGAAACTAGATGCAGTGTGACAGCGCTCCTCTCAGGGTGAGCCCAGAGAGCACTGAAGACAGATTAGGGGCCCCAGCCCGACCTGAGGGTTGAGAAGGCATCCTGGAGGAGGTGGCACCGGAGCTAAGATCTGCAGGTCTAACAAGGGTGGATGAGCAGGACAGGATAGATGTCAGCTTGCGGGGGCAGGGGGCATACTCTGCACCACCAAAACTGCCCTCTCTGCCCTGCCCGTGGAGTGAGTTGGCCTCAGTGGAGGAACCTGGGGGGCTGGGGCTGGGGCCCTGGAACCCCAGGAACTAGCATGTGCCTTGACTGTTGCCTCTTGGACCTCGGCAGGTGCAGCTGGTCCAGGACCCAGCAACTGGAGGGACCTTCGTGGTGAAGGCAGGTGCCGCCCAGCCCCCTGCCATTCTGCATTCCCCTTGGGACTTTCTCAGAGCTCCTGGGACCCCCACCCTCTGAGGAACCCCCAACCCAGAACCTGTATCTGAAGTCCCTGCTCCTTCCAAATCCAAAAGCTGCTTGTTCTGCCCTTGAGCATGCCCCGTGCCTTCCACACAGGCAGACACACACATCCTGCATCATCCTTTGCCCAGAGGGTGGAGGACCTGGATTCCATGGTGTAAATAGGGGTGAGGGCCAGGTCAGGAACTGGGGGAGGCAGTTGCTCCTCGAGGTGGCTCCGATCCCTTATCCAGTTGCCCCTGAAGCCGGGGCTGTAACATCCCCTAGCAGAGCAGCCTCTGGCCTGTCCCCGGCTGATCTGCCTGCCCTGCCCCCACCCCAGAGCCTGTCCAGGTGCCATGTGGCGAGCCGGGAGCGGCTGACCATCATCCCGCATGGTGTCCCCTACATGACCAAGCTGCTGCGGTACTTCGTGAGTGAGGACTCCATCTTCCTGCACCTGGAGCATGTGCAAGGTGAGGGGGCCTGAGGGGCCTCTGTCAGCGCCTCAGGCCTTTGGGATGTTATCCTCTTTCATCCTCTTAAAATGCTAGGCCCTGGGGAGGAGGGTGACTTGCCCCAGATGTGTAGCACTTGCCGGGGGACCCAGGCGTTCTGGAGGATGATGGCAGGATCGGGCTCTTGTGGGCCTCTGTGTGGTGCCAAGGGGACAGGGGATGTCCTGAGGAGGAGGATGACATCCTGGCCGGGCGAGAGAGCATTTATGCAGATGTCCTCTTTGTTACCATTTTCTCCAGTCTTGGCTCTCTTCATTCTTCTAGTCTGTACCCTTCCCTAAGAACGGCCATGTGATGTGGCGGTGACTGAAGCTGTAAGGAGAGGAACTGGGGCACATAACAGACATTCATTGATCACCCATTAGAGTGATGATTTTGTGTGTGTGTGTGAGGAAGACCGGCTCTGAGCTAACATCTATGGCCAATCCTCCTCCTTTTTTTTTTTTTCCCTTTTTCTCCCCAAAGCCCCAGTAGATAGTTGTATGTCATAGCTGCACATCCTTCTAGTTGCTGTATGTGGGATGCGGCCTCAGCATGGCCAGACAAGCAGTGCATTGGTGCGCGCCCGGGATCCGAACCTGGGCGGCCAGCAGCAGAGCACGTGCACTTAACCGCTAAGCCACGGGGCCGGCCCTGATGATTTTTTTTTTAATGAGGTACACATCCTTCGGTCATGACATATAGTCATCACAGGTCCATGCCTGGCCTTTTATTTCACTTACTTAAATTTTATTATACCATTCTCCCTAAAAAAGAAAAAAAAAATTATAACATATTGAACACCAGTGAACCCACCACCCAAACCAAGGACATTAACAGTAATTTACATCTCCTTAGGGGTTAAGCACCTATTTCATGCCATATTGTGAGGCTGGGCCCTCTAGGTGAGTCCAGAGGAGGGAGAGGGCATGCTAGGCTGAGGGAGGGAGGGAGCAGAGGTGAGGACCTGGAAGGCAGAGAGTCCCTGCCCAAGACAGAGGGGAGGCAGGAATGGGACAGGGACCTGGTGTCCACACTCTTCTTCTCCCCTGCCCCCATGCTTGCCGCTCCCTCTGCATGGCCCAGGAGGCACTCTCTGGTCCCACCTGCTCTCCCAGGCGTGCCCCCAACAGTCTGGGCTCAGGTCTGGTTCCAGCCTGGAAAGGATGAAGGCTCAGCTCAACTCCCCCGTCAGCCTCGGAACGCCAGCGCTGCACCCCCTGGGCCACACGCACCTGCAGGACAGAATCCCCCTGGAGCCTCCATGGACTTCTCGGAGCCTCCCCCCAGCCAGGGAGGCCCCATCCATCAGACCCCAGAGAGAGGCTGAAGGCAAACCCTCAGCCAGGACTAGTACTAATTGCTCCTCGGACCTTCCGAAGGCTCCAAGTGGCCGCCTGCACTTCCAAGCCAGGCGGGGACCTGCCAAGAGCCTTGACATGGGGTCCTCTTGGGGGCTCCCTTGGGTTCGCGAGGGGGCCGGCCGGGTGCTGGAGAGCTGTGGCAGAGGCAGAGGTCAGAGCCGCCCCTCAGCGGATGGGGCCAGCCTGGGGTGTGGCGGGGGCTCCTGGAGTGTGAGGGAAGAGCAGGTGAAGCAGTGGGCGGCTGAGACGCTGGTGGCCCTGGAGGCACTGCACGAGCAGGGGGTGCTGTGCCGGGACCTCAATCCCCGGAACCTGCTCCTGGACCAGGCAGGTAGGTGCCCCAGGCCTGGGGGAGGGGAGTAGGCCACCCTCATCCTACCCCACCCCTCAGATGGGGGCTCCCAAAGCCCCAAGACAGAGAACAAGAGCTCCCCAAAGTCAACGGGACCGCAGGGGCTGTCTGCTTCTTGCCCTGCCTCCCCCAGCCCTTTCACACAGAACTCTGCTGGTCTGGTTGGCCAAGATTGAGCCTGGGAAACAAGTCCCTTCCCGCTACTAGTCCAGGGCAGCAGCTGCTATGAATACCTGGTTGCTTCCGGGGGCTATGCCCCTAGGGAGGCTCTGCCCAGTGCAGTCCCTGGCTCCTGCCTTGTGACTGTTGGGGGGATCCCTGGAGTACCCTCCCGCATACCAGCTGCTCAACAGTGACTAACTGCAATTTTTGTCCCCCTTATTCTGCCCTGCACACACTGGATGGAAGGTCACATCCGGCTCACGTATTTTGGCCAGTGGTCAGAGGTGGAGCCCCAATGCTGCAGGGAGGCTCTGGACAACCTCTACAGCGCCCCAGGCAAGAAGGGAGCGGGCCTGGGAGCCCCTAGATCTTGGGTGCCTTGGTGCGGGCTGAGCTGGAGGCTGAGGGAATGGGCCGTGTCTGGGTGGGATGAGTAGAGTGGAGACTTGCCCTCTTGGTTGAGGCTGGGACATGTGCCTTCTTGTTCCCACAGAGGTGGGAGGGATTTCTGAGCTGACAGAAGCCTGTGACTGGTGGAGCTTTGGGTCTCTACTTTATGAATTGCTGACTGGAATGGTGAGTAGCTGGGCAGGGTGTGGAGCCCTGGGGGGTGTCACTGAGTGCGGGACGGGCTGGGCTTAGTCCAACCAGCCAGTGTTGGGGCTAGGGCTGCCGGGTCTCCAAGACCTGGCCATTGGGCCAGGTGTCCTGCCAACACAGCTGTCCCTCCAGCTGCCCCCACAGGCCATGAGAGACACAGAAATCCACTCCCACCAAGGCCATGGACACATTTAGCACCTCCACCACACTAGTGGCTGTAGCTAGTGAGACTGTCAACTTATATGAATGAAAGTTGAGTTGGAATAGTCAGGGAAGGTTTCTGGAAGAGAATGCTCGGGCCTAGGTCTGGTGGGAGGGTGGGATTTGACACAGCCCTTCTTCCCTGGAACGCCACTTACTCTTCCCCTGAGCTTCTTCTCCCCACTATTCACTCTCCCATCCACACCCTTCTGGGCTGTAACCCCCAGACTTTGGTTGGAGGACAAGAGAGAGGGCCTCCTTCATGCAGGCCAGCAGCTGCTCTGTGCAGCCTGGGTCGGCCAAGAGCTCAGGGTTCCCCCTGCAAACACCCTTGTTCAGGCTGGCAGCCTCTGCCCTCTGTCCTCCCCCGTGAACTCAGCACTGCACCCAGGGCTGGTTAGGTCCGGCAGAAAGGGAGAGGCCAAACTGCATCTGAGCAAGAAATGGGAGGAGTGGATGCAGTGTGACCTGAAGTCCAGATCCAACCAGTCCATGCTGGCTCCCTCCTGCTTTTGTCCCATAGCCGGGGCCTCTGAGAGCCCTGGCTGCAAATATCCCCAGACAGTGGTTCTCTCCTCTTGGTCTCCCGCCGCCTGCCTAGCCCAGGGCTCCTGACTTCCTCCCAGTTGCTTCTTGCAGCTCTTCCTGACCTCCAGACAGACCTCTCTGCTCTCCACAGCTGCCCCCTTCTGGAGCATGGAGAGGTCTTCCCTTGTCTCAGGTCTGCCTTGGCCCTGACGGTAGCATGCCATGGCCTGCTGTCAAATGAGCTGCCTGTGGAGACTTTTTTTCTATAAGGACACAAGTTCCAGTGCTGTTCCTAATAGAGTGCCTGCCCTGATTGCAACCCAAGGTCGAGGCTTCTAGCAAGCTTAGAGCCAGAGGGACCTGGGTTCAAACCCTGAACTCAGCACAAGTCCCTTTACCTCTCTGAGCCTGCTTCCTGTCTTTAAAATGGGGATACTAATACTTACTTTGAGGCTTGTTGTGGAAATTATGGATAATGGATGGCAGGCATCTTCCACAGCCTGGCATACAGTAGATGCAAAGCAAAAGGCCACGATCAACATAACATGATCATCATCATCCCCATGGGATGTGACACGGGGATCAATAAAATCCTGGCTGCCACTGGAGTGTACAGACTTTCCTGGGGTTGTCTCCTCAGAGACCCCTCCCTGTGTTTTCCAGACACTGTCCCAGAGCCACCCCTCAGGAATCCAGCCGCACACCCAGCTCCAGCTGCCCGAGTGGCTCAGTCACCCAGCGGCCTCCCTGCTGAGAGAGGTGAGGTACAGCCAGCCCAGGGAGGTCGCTTGGCCTGTGGGCGGGCGCTAGGAGGGTAGAACTCTGTGTGTGAACAAGCTGTGCTGCGTACTAGATGTCTGATGTGGGTACAGGAGGGTAATAGGGACAATAAATTTCTGTGTGTTGGTGGCCAAACACCACCAATGTCCCCCAGGGTAAAACTGGGCTGGCAGAGAGTGAGCCCCAGGAGCCATGGAGGCTGGGCTCCCTGGAGGTCAGCCCAGGCCTCAGCAATGGGGCCGGGAAGGCCTGCTGAGTGCTGACGGGGCCTTTCTCCGCAGCTGCTGCAGTTTGATCCCACTCGGCGCCTGGGCGCTGGAGGAGGCGGCGTCAACAAACTCAAGTCCCACCCATTTTTCAGTACCATCCAGTGGAGCAAACTAGTGGGGTAAGAGGGGGTGGAGTGGGCAATGGAAGCATCTGGACTGGTCTGGATCACCTCTCTTCTCTTTGCCTTCACCCAGAGCTGGCCCCTCTAATCAGTGGCCCTCAGGCAAAGAATGCAGGCCAGTTGCTTTTCCTGCTCAGCCCCCTCCCATGGGCCTCAGAAGTAATCATCACCACTGCCCAGGAAGGACCTAGGGAGTCTCCCAGCCAGCTCTTGGAGAAATCCTTTCTAGTCACTCCTGAGGCGGAGGGACAGGGAGATCTCATCTTGCTAGGCAGCTTGGATCCCTCCACCCATCAGTCAACAGATACCTGTTGAACACACACCCTGTACCTTGAACACAGATCTACCTTGTTAAAGGGTGCCTTCCGCTGCATTAGCTCTGAACTACCAACCACCTGCTGAGGTGACCACAAGGTTTTGTGACTCACTATCTGCTATGTGCCCCACTTGGGACATCTTCAGAGACTCATCTCAGGACACTGGTCCACTGGCTCAGTGGACTCACACCAGGGCTGCCCTGGCTGGTCATTTTAGCCATGCAACTAGTGGGCCTCTTCTACCAGGCTACTCCTGCAGGGGGTGGGGAGGCTGGGAAGCAGGGAAGAAGTCTGTAGGGGGCATGGGGTGAAGTGGGGGACAGGATGACCCACTTGTGATTTCAGACTTTGGAGAGCAAAAGGAAGGGAGGGGAGGAAAATAAGGATAAGAAGGAATGGGGAGAGGGAGGGATGCACAGCTCTGCCATTTAGAGCAATTCTGAAAACAGAATCAAGAGCTCCCTTCCGCAGCCAGCCCACTGGTGTGGAGAGAAAGGGGAACCTGCCCCACAGGTCTGAGAGGAGACCACAATTCAGCTGAACTCCGGGCTGAAACCACTAAAATAAGTTGTACCCATTAGGATTCCCTTCTCGGACATTCGTCCTGTTTACCATTTTGCATTTTAGTCTTGAGGGTCCACTCAATTCACTGCCCACTGTGACTTCATCCCTTTTGGAAATGAGAAACCACAAAACACATGGAACGATTGCCCAAGCTTTTAGCCAGAAGCAAGATGTTTCTGGTCTCTGAAGACCTGGGGTAGTTACCCCCAAAGACAACCCCCTCTCCAAGTTTGGGGACCTCTTCTCAGGACTCACCCTGTCAGTGGGGCGTGGCACCTAAGACAGTAATTTCCACCAGCTCTGCCCCCAACTCCTTCCCTCTGGTGTGTCTCCGGCACCACCAGGTGGCGCCTCTGACGCTGTCCTCCAGTCAGGCTGTGAAGGCCCAACCCTAACTCTGGGGGTAGGGACCTGTGTTGTGGGGAGCACATGACACTCAGTTCCTTAGGATGACTCTGGGACAGAGATGACATGGGAAAGTGCAGCCTGTGTATGGTCCTGGCTTTCCCCGGGGCTTGCCCATACCAGTCCCCCTACCCCCCGTCCCCCACAATAAAGCCTGCTGTTGCCTATGGTGTCTTTTCCTCATTAATGCAATGAGAGTGGTCCTGCCTGAAGGGTGAGATTGGAAGGCTCCCCCAGGGAAGCTCTATGATGGTCAAGAATGAGCTTGGAAGTCTGCTTAGGAAGTAGGAAGCAGGGCTGGTGGTGACCAGCATGCCAGCCTGTGCCCTGCAGAGCAGCTTTGAGCTGGAGGGGAAGTGCTGGCATGCAGGGGGCACTGGGCTCTGGGGGAAATAAAGTAGGAAGAGAAGTGTTAGAAGAGGGTCATGGTGCCTGGGGAAATACCAGTTTAATCCTCACAGGTACCCCTTGAGACGGATGGTGGCTCCTGTTCAAAGGGGTTAATAATAGGACCTGGTCAGAGCCTGTTCACACGGCTGTGTTCCTTCCGCTACGCTCCTTAAGTCAGGCCAGACCACTTCCAACCACTGCTGCATGAAGTGCGAGTTGCTTCTGGAACTTCTGGGCCTCATCCACGCAATAAACACTGCACATCTGGCACATTGCTAGGCCCTGAGCTTTGAATACTGTCGTCCCGCAGTATAATACCTCCTTTGTATAAGATACAACATGGATACCTCCTTTGCATGTTTACTAGAGAAATTAAAGCTTCTAGCACCATGCCCCAGACCTGATAATTCTTAAATTTTTCCCTTCATTGAACCAAAATTTTTCTACCAACTCTAGTTCTACCCTCTGGGAGCCACTTCGTTCTTGTGACACCTTCATATAGATGGCATCACTTCAAGCAAGATCAGCAGGCAGGGACTGTGTGGAAAGACCAGGCTGTATTTAAGCCTAGACACCAGCATGCCTGTCACCTGTAGTCAGTCTAGGTAAGCTCCCAACCTTGTCCACTCACCCTCACAGACCACTGCTCCCAGGAGATGATCTACCCTCATTTGTTATGACTTTGAGCATCCTTGGTACACATGTGGCAATCAAGTCCAAAATACAAAATTCTAAGAGTTGCCCCACCTCTCCCCAAACCATCCCAGAAATTATGCAAGTCCCCCAAAAATGCAAATGTCTGTTAGTGTTTGAAAGGGCTTCACAAAGCTAGGAACCAATGTCTCTTCAAGCATATGGCTTGCTAGCCTTGAGGAGCTCACTGGAAGGAAGCCAGGGCACTTTCCTGGTCTTCTGTCAAATTAGTACAGTGTTAACTTATTTCAAGTCTGAGATATCACAGGTAGTCAAGGGGACATTACGTGGCTTTCAATGCTAATGACAATCACAGTGCTGGAGACCTGTACAACCTCAGTAACCAAAATGAACACAGAAGCAAGAACCCTGTTTGAGAACATTTGCCCTTTAATTTGCATTTAAAATCAGTTTCTTTAAATATTTTAGTTACAAGTTCTGAATAGTGAAGACATAGTGGATGCTGCAGGCACTCAGTACTGGCTCCCACCCCTTCCCCTCACCCCACCCCCCAGGCCTAGCTTCCTCGCTCAAGATACAAATTGGGCACTCTGCACTAAATAAAGGGCTGCCGGTGTCAAGTGTCAGCAGCCTCAGGCCTGGATGCAGTTGGATACAAAGCGATGAAGTCCAGTAGCTTTCGTGACAAGATGTGCACATTCAACCATCCTCCAAGGAATTCCAATGATTGCATCCAGACCCAAAAGGCAGTACCTCAGAGGTGACATCGGCCGTTTCCCCACTGTGTACTACCATCTTGGGGCTGGTTTCCACCATAGTCCATCCTCCCCCGACCTGTGTTCTGCAGAGGAAGAGCTAAGGCCCCACTCCCTAAGGGCCATGACGCAGGAAGGAACAAAACTGCCTCTCAGTCCACGTGCTTATACCGGTGAAATTTAAGAGCCCAAGTCAATCTGAGCCAATCCACAGTGCCTCTCACTCCAATCTCAACCAGGCTCCAGCCCTTGGGTGTGACCATGCTCTGTCCCACTACCATGATGTGCTTGAATCTGCTCTAAATGAGAACAATGTGCTAGAATGGTTCCTAGCAGTCTGGAAAGGTTGGCACAACCACAGCTGTGTGTGACTGCCAAAATGGGTCTTCCTGGTGCGAGGCTATGATGGAGAGTGTGAGGGTAGGCCTGGGTTCTGCTCCTGTCTTGTTTATAACATATGACCTCAGGGAGAATCTGCCCTCTCCCCTCTCAACACAGCCCACTCCCCTCCCACCCAGATCCCCTGGCCTGTACTTCCTGGAAGAGGTAGAAGAGGCATCTTGAAGTCAATGACAGGTGAGAATGAAGGTGCCATTTAAGAAGCAAAGCAGCACCTCTTGGCCTGTGGTCAATACCTCCAGTGGAATTGAGTGAGAATATGCACAGCCAGGAGAGAGGCTGCTCTGAGCCTGGGAGGCACAGCGCCCCACTAGACATCTCTGGAGAACAGACTTTCAAATCGTAGAAACTTAATCACATGGTCCTATAGTATAGTGGCACAGGGAAGAAGCAAAATCATCTCTGCAGAGGACTAATGGAGGAAGGCAGGAATATTAATGAGCATCCATTAAGGCTCTCTCTCTTTCCCTCAAGCCTAAGGAAATAAGATATTCGAGTGTAAGAGAGGGAGAGAGCCTGACAGGAACGCCAAGAAAAGACCTGCTGGTTACATAGTGGTCTGGCTTCCTTTCATGAGGCCAACAGCATGTGCCTGTCTGTCACCAGGCTAACCTGGGACCCATGAGGGGACAGGGAGAAGACTGGTTTTCAGTTCCTGCATGGTCAATGTGTAGGGCATGTGGCTTCCTCCTAGAGGTCCAGGAGGAGGACTCTGGGATCTTCTACCGCTGCCTTGATTTTGCGGAGGAAAGTCACAGCCTCTCTACCGTCGATCAGCCGGTGATCGTAGGTCAGTGCCACGTACATCATGGGCCGCACCTCCACCTAGAAAGGAGAAGTTGACAGGTTTGTCTGCAGCAGGGCAGAGAAAGCCCCGCTGAAGAGGGGAGATGAGAAAGCACAGGCCATAAGAGAGTTCCCAGTTCCAGAGCCCTTCCTATTGACTTTGCTTCTAGATACTTAGAATATTTTTTTTTTTTTTAAAGATTTTATTTATTTATTTTTTCCCCCCAAAGCCCCAGTAGATAGTTGTGTGTCATAGCTGCACATCCTTCTAGTTGCTGTATGTGGGATGCGGCCTCAGCATGGCCGGAGAAGCAGCACGTCGGTGCGAGCCCGGGATCCGAACCCGGGTCGCCAGCAGTGGAGCGCGCTCACTTAACCACCAAGCCACGGGGCCGGCCCTAGAATATTTTTAAAGACCAAGGCTTACGCTTAGTGCAAAGCTCCCACACTCAGAAGCTTAACCAAGAAAATACGAGTCTCCTCACAACTGCCTTTTTTTTTTTTTTTTTGTGAGGAAGATCAGCCCTGAGCTAACATCCATGCCCATCTTCCTCTACTTTCTATGGAACGCTGCCACAGCATCGCTTGACAAGTGGTGCATCGGTGTGCGCCCAGGATCTGAACCTGTGAACCCTTGGGCCACCGAAGTGGAAGGCACACACTTAACTGCTGCGCCACCAGGCCAGCCCCACAACTGCCTTTTTAAAACACATTCTCCCCTCTTATTGATGTGTTTTCCGTCTTATTGATGATTTTCCGTCTACACGGAAAGTTTCTCCTTCAGTTCTGGTTGTCTGCAGCTTCTTTTTTAGGGTTGTAATTAAAAAAAACTTTTTTTAACCTGGGGTCCACAAATTGTCTGAAATAGCATGCAAAGTTGGGTGTGTGAGCATTTTCAGGGGAGAAGGTCTATGGTTTTTGGATTCACAAAGGAGTCAGTGAACCAAAAAGGTTCTAAACACAGGAGACCCAGAAAACATTTTCCTACCAACATCTCTTCCAACACCCACTCAAGACCCTTTG